ACGCCTTTAAATAAGGCAAGTCCGACGTTGGGGTGTAGAATTTTTCTATGTAAAACGCAGTACAATACTACGTTTTATGTATTGAATTATTGTTATGTCAGTTCATTATTGATGGGGGCAAAAACCAGAGTACAACACAATTATTTAATGTAAAACGCATTATTATACTGCGTTTTACAAATATATCTTAGTAAAACGCAGTATAGTACTGCGATTTACAAATTTTTTTTTTTAAGTAAAACGCAGTACTATACTGCAAATTACTTTAACGGCAAAATTTCCGTTAACGTAATTCGCAGTATAATACTGCGTTTTACTCATGTATGTAACTTTTTTTTTTAAAATAGTACAAAAGTATTTTTTGTCCAAAAATAATTAAAAAGGTTTCGGACTCCTCGCATTTCTCCTCTTAAACCGAGACGTGAGGACCAAAATGCAAGACTGCAATTAAGAAGTTGTATCAATAAAGCGAAGCACTCAAACCTAACCTATTTCTTCTTTTTATTTATAGCACGGAGTAGTTATTGATTACCAAATCTGATGTCAATAAAAGTACAATCACTCGTATTTACAAAATTGCTCGTTCAACAGACAGATGATTTTAAAGAGGGACACTCGTGCACTAAGCTTATGTTATGTGCGGGGTTTAAGGAAGAGCCGACCATGAAGATTTATTGTATGCAATTCTACTCTGTAATTTTACAAAAAGCTATTTTTACAGCTCGAATCTATAACCTGCTGATCACATGACAACAACTTTACCAGTTATGTCACAGAAGATATCATACCAACCAAAAAAGTAAGAGGCCACTGCCAAAGTTCAATCATACACATGTAGGACAAATTAACATTAAGAGTTGGGACCCTCGAATCTCCAAGATGAAATCACGAGCTACCTTACATTGTTGTATTATTAGTTGATCGTCAGAGCTCATTTTTCACGTTTGAAACCTCACCTACCGGGCATGGGCCAATGCTGATTCCACTGTTCTCTGTTCAAGTTTTCTGCAAAACGTTAAGTGTTTGTTTGGTACGAAGGAAAATATTTTTTGGAAAATATTTTTTAATTTTTTCATGTTTGGTTAACTTAAATATTTTGGAAAATATTTTTCTTATGAACAAATTTTCCTCCAATTGAAGGAAAATATTTTTCTTATCAAGGAAAGGATATTTTCCAAAACTCCTTCTCAAGCTTCTCCATCCTATTCTCCACTCTCACCAATCCATCCCACACCCACCCCACCCCGCTCTCCAAAAAGGTTTTTTCTTTTTCAAATTTCAATTTTTTTTTTCATCATCACCCACCCTGCTACCCCCTCCCTACCCTCTCCCCACAAAAAATTTCTTATTTTTACTCTCTTTTTTCTAATTTCAAATTTCGATTTTTTTTTCGTTTTCCTGCACCACTCACCCCTACCCCGCCAATTCCCACCTCCCCCTCCCGCACAAAAA